CCTTCCAAACATGTTGAGCTTGCCTTTCCCCCTCATGCTAGCCAAATTACTTGCACTAAGTAGAGATACTACTTGTGCTTCCAAATATCCTTAAACCCAGTTTTGCCATGAGAGTCCACCATACCTACCTATGGATTGAGTAAGATCCTTCAAGTAAGTTGTCATGTTGCAGGCAATAAAAATTGCTATCTAAATATGTATGACTTATTAGTGCAGAGAAAATAAGCTTTGTACGATCTTGTTGTGGAAGTAATAAAAGCGACGGACTGCATAATAAAGGTCCACATACAAGGGGCAATATAAAGTGACGTTCTTTTGCATTAAGATTTTGTGCATCCAACCCTAAAAGCACATGACAACCTCTGCTTCCCTCTGCGAAGGGCCTATCTTTTACTTTATGTTTTTACTTTATGCTTGAGTGAAGGTGATCCTCACCTTTCCCTTTTTCATTTTATCCTTTGGCAAGCTCCTCGTGTTTGAAAGATCATGATATATATATATCCAATTGGGTGTAAGTTAGCATGGGCTATTATTGTTGACATCACCTAAAGGTGAATACGTTGGGAGGCAACACAATAAGCCCCTATCTTTCTCAGTGTTCGGCTGAAACTCCATAACCATGAGTATTGCGTGAGTGTTAGCAATTATAGGAGACTACAGGATAGTTGAGTATGTGAATTTGCTGAAAAGCTCTATTGTTGACTCTTTGTGATGATACGATAAATTGCAATTGCTTCAATGACTGAGATTATAGTTTGTTAGTTCCCAATGAAGTTTTTGAACCATACTTGACACTGTGAATTGATTGTTACTTGAGCATAAGAAATCATATGATAAAAATGAGGTCATGATGCCCTCATGTCCGTATTTTATTTTTGTTGTTATAAGAATGATCATGATGCCCTCATGTCCGTATTTTATTTTTATCGACATCTCTATCTCTAAACATGTGGACATATTTTTTGATTTTGGCTTCCGCTTGAGGACAAGCGAGGTCTAAGCTTGGGGGAGTTGATACGTTCATTTTGCATCATGCTTTTATATCAATATTTATTGCATTATGGGCTGCTATTACACATTATATCTCAATATTTATTGCATCATGCTTTTACAAGGTTTACCATGAAGAGGGGGAATGCCGGCTGCTGGAATTCTGGCTGGAAAAGGAGCAAACTTTGGAAACCTATTCTGCACTGCTCCAAAAATCCTGAAACTCCACGAAACCTATTTTTGGAATTAATAAGAATTCTTGAGCGGAAGAAATACACCAGGGGCCCACACCCTATCCAAGAGGGTGGGGGGCGCGCCCCCTGTCTCCTAGGCCCCCTGGTGCCCCCCCCCCCCGGTGTCCATCTTCTGCTATATGAGGGCTTTTATCCTGGAAAAACTCGTGGGCAAGCTTACGGGACGAAACTCCACCGCCACGAGGCGGAACCTTGGCGGAACCTTGGCGGAACCAATCTAGAGCTCCGGCAGAGCTGTTCTGCCGGGGACACTTCCCTCCGGGAGGGGGAAATCATCACCATCGTCATCACCAACAATCCTCTCATCGGGAGGGGGTCAATCTCCATCAACATCTTCACCAGCACCATCTCCTCTCAAAACCCTAGTTCATCTCTTGTATCCAATCTTGTATCAAAACCACAAATTGGTGCATGTGGGTTGCTAGTAGTGTTGATTACTCCTTGTAGTTGATGCTAATTGGTTTACTTGGTGGAAGATCATATGTTCAGATCCTTAATGCATATTATTACTCCTCTGATTATGAACATGAATATGCTTTATGAGTAGTTACGTTTGTTCCTGAGGACATGGGTGAAGTCTTGCTATTAGTAGTCATGTGAATTTGGTATTCGTTCAATATTTTGATGAGATGTATGTTGTCTTTTCCTCTAGTGGTGTTATGTGAACGTCGACTACATGACACTTCACCATTATTTGGGCCTATAGGAAGGCATAGGGAAGTAATAAGTAGATGATGGGTTGCTAGAGTGACAGAAGCTTAAACCCTAGTTTATGCGTTGCTTCGTTAGGGGCTGATTTGGATCCATATGTTTAATGTTGTGGTTAGGTTTACCTTAATACTTCTTTTGTAGTTGCAGATGCTTGCAATAGGGGTTAATCATAAGTGGGATGCTTCTCCAAGTAAGGGCAGTACCCAAGCACCGGTCCACACACATATCAAATTATCAAAGTACCGAACGCGAATCTTATGAACGTGATGAAAACTGGCTTGACGATAATTCCCATGTGTCCTCGGGAGCTCCTTTCTCATTATTAGAAATAGTCCAGGCTTATCCTTTGCTACATAAAGGATTGGGTCACCTTGCTGCACTTTATTTACTTTATTTACTTGTTACTCGTTACTATTTATCTTATCACAAAACTATCTATTACCTATAATTTCAGTGCTTGCAGAGAAAACCTTACTGAAAACCGCTTATCATTTCCTTCTGCTCCTCGTTGGGTTCGACACTCTTACTTATCGAAAGGACTATGATGGATCCCCTACACTTGTGGGTCATCAACAACCAGGTCATCCTACGAATCTCAACTGTCCATACCGGATTTCTAAAAGAAGTGGAGACATGACAATCAAAGAATGGAAAAAATATATGGACGATCGTAAGGAGGTTCTTGGAAGCAAAAGGAAGCGAAGCGCAAGAATTGGAGACAGGATGATCTCCATTCTTCATAATGGAGAGTCAGGGTCTATATTGTTTTATGCTATTTTACCTTAAGGGTGTTTAGGTCCTACCTGATACTGATGATCATGTGCTAAGAACAATTAAGTAGGGTTGGGTTCGATGACTATGAGGATGATGATCGTATGACTTGTTATTAATAACGAGTAGAAGTTGTATGATGATGCATGATTAGTAGGACTTGTTATTATATATGATGATGTATGATGCAAGCATGAAGAGTTATTATATATCAGCGGGTGAAATGAACATAGCAGTAGCGTTGGTAAACCAAGCACGAAGATATAAGAGAGGCCACTTCTCTCTATTAGCTAGCTAATAACAACCTAAATTAACCCCCAAAATTCCTAAACCAGCCCCTTTCAAAAAAAAACCTCAGCTCCAGCTAGCTGCTGACGCGTGGATGCCTTTTGGTCCCGGTTTATGTAACCAACCGGGACCAAAGGCCCCCCTGCCTGGGCTACCCGCAGTGGCCACGTGGAGGCCCATCTGTCCCAGTTCGTGTAAGAACCGAGACTAAAGGCCAAGGGCATTAGTACCGACCTTTTAGTCCCAGTTCTTAAACCGGGACAAATGGTCCTTTTTCTACCAGTGACATAAATTAATAGATCTATGATCCAAATCATTCAAAGAGAGAGATGGAATAAGATAGGGTTCTTCCCAAAGTCCTAGGACAAGGAGGGCCGGATGCTTCTAGGAAGTCTTTCTTCTCCACAAGGGGAGGTCTTGATAATCATCGAGGGTTCTTCTCCTAAGAGGCCTTGCAACCCTTAAGATTCTCCACTTATAGTGGGCTTGATCTCCATATGAGAGGATAGATCCCACGAGGGGAGGTACATGAGCTAAGCTCTATGGTGTTTGTTCTAATCTTAGATATCCTATAAATGAGGAGGGGGGGGGGTCTATTTATACTCCATGTCAGGAAATGGTAGGTGGGAGAGAGATATGTGGGCATTGTGCCCGAGCTACACACAGGCAGGCACCAGATGTCCAGTACGTATCGGATGTCTGGTGGCTCGTGAGGCGGGGAACGTCCGCTACGCACCGGAAATCCGTATGATTGCTTCTGGGTAGGTGATACCGGATTTCCGGTGGGTACTAGATGTTTGGTCCGTCGGGAAGCACCGGATATCCCGTAGTCCAGTGGATGTCCGACCATTGTAGTGTCTTGGCTTCGGTTGCTTCCTCGTTGATCCTCTTCATCAGACACTAGACGTCTGGTAGTGGGACCGGATGTCCGGTGGTTGTAGCTCCGCAGCTTCGTCTTTGCTTCCACACTTTCTCCGTGGATGGTATAGCCGTTCCTTTGTGCTTCTATTCCTCCACACCATCCGTGAAGCTCAGATCAAACCTATATATGCATGTAGGAGGGTCAAGTAGTAAGGAGATGAGTCACCTTTATATGTACGAAGTTGGTGTCGCATGTGACCTTGACAAATGGACTCTTGATATGGTGATGGTGATGTGGGAAAGATCCGTCCTCGAATCAAAAATCAAATCATCATGGGAAAGAGATGGCGGCGTCGTGTAGTAGTGGGCGTTCACGATGCACTTGGCATCGATATGCTCGAACTGGCCTCTCTCCGATGTCGGACCGTCTTGTGATTCGTTCAACATGAGCAAATAGAACACACTTAAAAAAACGAATGTGGTTAGCGTTAATGTAAAACAAAACATTCAAGTGGTGACTCAATAATCTGTGATCGATTTCACGTAATTCAGCTCGAATTCAGTCATAGAAAATATAGAAATACGCGAGCTCTGTATGGGGAATTCGATCCTTGTGAACGTACTTTTGCCTGTATAGAATAGAAGAGTCGTCCATCGAGATCACCAATGACTGAAAACAACTGTCGGAGAGCTTCAGATTTACTTTCAGATCATCACTGACACCAATTTAGCCGCCTAAATTTCACTCGTTACGGTGTTTTTATCTCCTGCTATCACCATTGGAGAGCACTCGGTGAGCCTCCACTCACTCGGAACGGAATCCAGTTGCAGAAAGTTTCTATATAGTATATATTTATAGTCCCTTTCCTCACTGTTATTTGATTCCACATCTGCGCATCACAAACTCAGCAGATGCGTCTACTTTATCCCCCCAAAGAGAAAAAACAAGACAAAACAACATCATCTACGGATCATATTATATCGCGATCGCTGTCGCAGGTAGGCTGACGAGTGGAGCAACCACCAACCACCACCGGAGCAGCTCACGACCGGTGATCGCCGGTGAGCCACACGCCGGCAGGCCAGCTAGAAATGTACAGGGCGGGCGCGGGGCAGTGGAGTCGATCAGCAGATGACGCAGGAGTTGGGGTCCTCCTCGGCGCTGCGGACGAAGTAGTACGGGTGCGGGTGGTGGTGCTGCTGCGGCGGCGGCGGGGGGTACCAGTAGTGATGCGGGTACACCACCTGCTTGCTCCCGTCCTTCTTGTCCTTGTCGCCGTCCTTCTTGTCCTTGTCGCCGTCTTTCTTGTCCTTGTCCCCGCCGGCGCCGTCCTTCTTGTCGTCCTTCTTCTCCTCCTTGTCCGGGCCGACGGAGACGATGTGCGCCCCGAGGAAGACCTTGCGCAGCTTGGCGACGACGTCGACGGGGTCCATGCTGCCGACCACCGTCATCTTCTGCTCCTTCATGTCTACGCCCATGTTGTCGATGCCTGAGCCACGCACGGCACACGCAGTGAGTTTTCATCGCCAGCATGGATCAGCGGCAGAAACTTGTGTCGAGCTCTCTCCAGCTCCATGATTACAACGAAGCAGAGCAAGATAGGAGGACGGAATTGGGGAAGAGGAAGCAGGGGAGAAAGAGGAGCACCGTGGAGAGCGGAGACGGCCTTGAGCGCCTTCTGCTTCTGCCTGTCGTCGTGCAGGTCCAGCTTCAGCACAACCTTCTGCACTCGGCCGTCAGACAAGAAAAACCATCAGAACCCCGAGCAGCAAGATGAAGAGCCGCAGCTGAAATCTGCAACGTAAAGAAATCCCCCGAAATCCCCAACAGGACCGACCGCAGTCACCTTCATAGCGCCGGCGACCAAACAGACGGGCGACGGAGGGCTTCGCCGGGGACGTGATAAAATTTGTTGGTTGAGGAGGTGGAGCGGCGGCGTGCGCGTGCGTGCTCTGTCTCTCGGGCGATGAACCCGATGCGCGAGAGCAGAGGAGGAAGTGTGGTGGTGGTGTGTGATCTGGGCGGCAAGAGATGCGGCCCGGCGGGTTTATATAGGCAGCGCGGGGCACGTCGACGTCGCGGCGCCCCATCGCCCCGTCGCGTTGCCTTGCCCTCTTGGTTTTTCAAAGGGGCGCGGGGGCGACGTCAGGGCAGGGCAGCAGGCAGGAAGCTGCCACGAAGCAGCCTCCCTCCGGCTCCGGGCCGGGTGGATGCTCATCGGTCGGTGGCGCCGGGACTGCGTGACGCACCGGCGCGCAACGGAGAGAGAACTGAACCGGTGGATGCATCATAATCGCAGGGGTTTCGTCCGTCCTGTCGCTGTCGTCGCGGGCGATCGTGCCGGATCTCGGGTCGATCGGGTGGGCGTGGCGGCAAGGCGGGGGATGGGACGGATGGATGGCCGCGACGACCCTGACCCCGACCCGCCGGGTCTCCTGTCCACACGCGCGCGCCCACCTGCACGTCCTAGGTGCGCCCGGGCTGCCCGCCCCGGCCTGGCCATTATTATCGGGGGACACTTGACGGTCGTGCCCGATCCGGCGCCGGAGTGCCAGATTGCCACTACGGCGGCCCCGGGTCGGCCTGGTCGCCATTGGAGCAACTGTACTGCACGGACTGGGAATCGAATGGCCGGACCGAAGAATGTATACTACAGTGTAGAGTAGAAAACTTCAGCGCGTGACCAAGACCGTCGGTGTATGTTTGACTACACTAGCAGCTACAGAGGATCAGTTTGGGGTTAGTTTGGATCGTAAAGTTGTAGAATTATATAACAGAATCGCGATTCTAACAACCTTGAGCTAAAGGCGAGGGGACTGATAAAATCCAAACGTATCGCCCCATTTCTATGTTAAATGTGTCGTTTAAGATTTTTACTAAAGTTCTTAATAGTAGAGTTATGAAAATTGTTGATAAACTTGTTTCTAAAGTCCAGAATGCATTCATTAAATGTCGCTTTATTCTTGATAGTGTTCTTGTGTTGCATGAAACTATTCGCTCCTTACATGGAAGTGACTTCTGCAGCCGTCTTCTTTAAAGTAGTCTTCGAAAAAGCGCACGATCAAATTAATTGAGACTTTATGTTAGAGGTTTTAAAAACGAATTTACCTATCGTTTTACTTATTGGACAAAATATGTGGTATGTAATGGTAAAGTTGCCATCACTATTAACGATGTGATTGGTCCGTATTTTGCCACTAAGAAGGGTTTGTGGCAAGGGGATCATTTTCCCCTTTGTTGTTTAACTTGAATGTTGATGTACTCGCGGCCCTAGTGCAAAGGGCGCAAGAACAAGGGTTTATTAAAGGTGGACTGTCTAATCTTTCTGTTAGGGGTTTAACTATTTTGCAATATGGAGATGATACTTTTTTTTTGTTTTCATGATGACTTAAGAGGGGGCTAGAAACCTCAAAGTTATTCCTTGTGTCTTTGAACACTTAACTGGGTTGAAGATTAATTTCTTTAAAAGTAAAATCTGTTGTTTTGGTGAGGCTTTAGAGAGACACCATGATTATGCACATATTTTTATATGTGCTATTGGTGCTTTTTCCTTTACATACTTAGGTGTTCCATTGCATTTTTTCTTCTTCATAATTCTGATTGGAAGTCAGACGAAGAAAAAGTCGAGAAAGGGGATGCCTCTTGGCAAGGTGGGCTACTTCCTATGGAAGGTAGCCTATGGGCCTCTTCACAATGATATTTCTTCCTATGATTGTTAAGGACATCTTTTATAGTTGTTGTTAGAGGGTCGTGGGCAATGGGCATAAGACCAGGTTCGGAGGATGCCTAGATCCATAACAAACCTCTTTGTCAGTTTTTTTTCTCGTCTGTACAATCTTAGGTTTTGTCAAAACATCATTGTGGCTAAAGTTGTTAGTCAAGATTTCAATCGTATCAGGTTGAGGAGATGTTTATATGGAGAAACTCTGGACATGTGGAATGAACTCTTAGATATGTGTAGTCAGAATATTCTAAATGATGAGTGTGACAAAGAAAATGGTTGTTGGTCAGTTCTGCCACATTTTCAGCTAAATCTCTTTATCAATACATTATAGCTAGGAGAGTTGATTTCCACTTTAAGTTATTTTGGAAAATCAAAATGCCTTTAAAGAGTAGAGCTTTCGCCTGTTCGTGATCAAAGGAAGGATCCTTACCAAAGACAGTTTAAGTAAAGGGGGGTGGTCTGACACCAACAAATATGAGTTTTGTAATGCCTGGGAAAGTATTGGTCATTTGCTTTTTACATGTCCGATGTCTCGTTTCATTTGGAATGTTGTGGGGAGTGCTTTGGGTAATCCAAAAATGCCAACACATTACTTATTTGATATTCGCCAGAATTGGATACTAGCCTACACTGGCAAAGATCGTGTGTTGTTTCTATTGGTGTTTGTGCTTTACTTTTGTCTATATGGAAAACAAGAAATAAAGCTTCGCCAGTGATCGGTCAAGTGATTGAATTCGTCATGCTCGGACTTCACTTTTATTTTGCCATGTCCGGACTGTTAAACTATATTTTTTAAACGGGGGCAAAAGCTTTGCCTAATCTCATTAATTAAGAAAGAGAAGAACATAGTCTAATCATTTATATGACCACACAGGTCCGGATAAAGGGATCACTCTCCTCGTATAATACTTCCCAAAACCTTAGCCCCCGCAAGTACCCAAATATTTGCCTCATCCTTAATCCATGCCGCCGCCCTCAAGGGCAGGGTAGCCTTATTATGGAAGACATGAGCATCTGTAAAGAGTTAACCACCTTCCTGTAGTAACCTAACTGGTCCTCGCTCGAAATCCACCATTAGTTCATCGTCTCAAGGTCGGCCCAAGAGGGGGTCGTAGATTGCCATCCCAACCAGCAGAAGATAATGTTCCAAGCTCTGATTGTGAAGCGGCATTTGAACATGATGGGCCTCCGGCTCCCATCTGCAAAGCTGGGAAAGGCCACAGTTGGGGCAACCCATGTGTTGAAGCATGCCAAGCTGCCAAATTATGTCTTTTAGTATGAGCCTAGAGAAGAATTTAATCTTAGGAGGCAACTAAATCTTCCAAACCATGTTTGGCAACACAGACTTGATCAAACCTGCAAACTGCATCCTATACGCAATGACGGCCGAGTAACATCCATCCGCACGGAACAAGGTTCATTTCATGGCTTTTGGACTAAAGGTGGCAAAATTGTTGTATTAGGATAACCAAAAGTCCGAGCATTATTGGTCATCGCCTTAGCGACGCAACTGTTGGTGCGCTTGGGAATGGTGAAGATGCCCGAAGCAATGTCTTTAGGTTTGTGTCCATTCAACCAAGGGGAGTGCCAAAAACTCGCCTTCATTCATCACCAATGGTGATTGTCATTGCTGCATAGAAAAGGGCATTGTCTTTATCGTCGCATGGGGTTTCGAGGTCAACCCAGGCCCTCTGCGGGTCCCCCCAAGGAAACCATAGCCAATGAAAGCCAAACTATGATTTATTTTACTTTGTTGGTTCGTTAAACTGTTGAATTATGATGAATCTATGCTATATGATAAAGGTTCATGAATTCGAGGCTTTGCGTTTGACTATGGATGCCGGAGAGTAAATATAAGGAGTCGTCCGGGCCATCTGTGGCCCTTAGACGTTTAGGGGGGGCGGATCTCCCAAGTCTGGCCGTAGATGCTCTCACCTCAGTATCTTGTACGTTCGCTCGTCAGGTGATGTCCCTGGCTCCTCTGTAGTGTGTGTTTTGCTTTATCTATGAAATGGGGGCAAAATTGTACTACGAGAGGGGAATTTGAGTCGGCTCCAAGAACTGATTTACTAAGCAAGGACGTTTGTTCCATCACAAGAGAGCAAGAGTGTTACTTCTTCAGACCAGTTGGACATTATCTTCTGAAACTTATATTGGCAAAGCTTACATTATCCTTTACTGTCAAGCAGTTCTTGTGTATGCACGTGCACTGCGTCTCCCCCAAGAAAAGAAGCCATACAACAGCTACTAGATGACTGGTGCAACCCTTGCAGGATCGTTGATACTGTATAACGCACGCTGTCGATTATCGTAACGGGTAGGCTGATGACAACAGCAACTACCAACCTGCAAATGTACAAATGTACAAGTATAAGCAGGCTGTCCCGATCGATCGGCAGGCTATGAGATACAAATGTACAAGCAGGCGGGCCTTGGAATTGATCAGCAGATGACGCACGAGTTGGGCTCCTCCTCGGCGCTGTGTAGGACGTAGCGCGGTGGCGGCGGCGGGCACCAGTACGATGGGTACACCCACACGAGTACACGACCTGTTTCTTGTCTCCGTCCTTCTTCTCCTCCTTGGCCGGGCCGACGGAGACGATGTGCGCCCCAGGGAAGAACCTGCGCAGCTTATCGATGACGTCGACGGGGTCCATGCTGCCGACCACCGTCATCTTCTGATCCTTCATGTCCACGCCCATGTTGTCGATACCTGAGAAAACCACGATTGTCGTCGTCAGAAGTGTCGAATTCAGATACCGGTGAGTGAATGGCCCCTAATCCCTTCCACGACTACGAAGAAGCAGAGCAAATACGAGGCCATGACGACGGTATCGGGGAAGAAGAAGCAGTGGAGTACCGTGGAGAAGGGAGACGGCCTTGAGCGCCTTCTGCTTCTGCAGTGGAGTGCCGGTGAACGTCCTGCACGTCCAGTTTCATCACCACCTTATATGCATGGAGCCGCCAGACAAGAGCAAAAACCAAATGAGCAGAGCCGTCCGAGCAAAATCAACAGCCGCGCCCTTCACCTCCTTTAGGCATTTGGATCCAGTGCTCTCCGGGTGAAAACCTATGCTTCGGCTTGGGCTGAAGCGGGCGGCGGCGGCGTTCACGTCGCATCCTTCTTG